TAAACTATCTGTTTAATATTTGACTGCTTTAAAACTAATGCATTTGTAATGAAAACTGACAGTATAATATGTTTTATAAAACATATTATTTTCCGAGAAATAATGTCTACATTTAATTTCAAATGCCCTGGTTATAGGTAGTCATTTTGTGAATAAGGGAATTTTGTTTTTTCAATTGTGTAGTGTTATTGCTTTCTTCAGTTCCTCGAAAGAACAATTTATATCCTCGTTTTTTTCTCTCGAATGCAACATGTCATGTATCTGTCTCACAACAACATTTTCTTTGAATACAATTTTAGAGTAATCAAGTCTTCTACATGGTTATTTCAATAAATTAATGTTTTCCTCTTTTGATATTACACTTTAATTAGTCTCATTCACTGAAAACTAATGATCACATGTGTGATAGTATGTCTTATATCTTAATATCTAAAACGCAAAATAATAAGACAAAAATGAACACAAAACATATTTACGCATAACAAACTCGTAGAACTAAAACAACATTTTTAAAGAAATTGTAGTGTACACTAAGGTTAGGTTAGACTAAGTAATGATAATAGTAATTAAAAGACATAATTTGATTTTTAAAATATTGTTGTTTATTATATTTGCTCTTTTTTCCCCAAAAACGAACAAAAAATTGTGTTAAAATCATTTTTGTGCATTTTTAAAAAAATCACCAGGTTATGATGTAGGTATACGATATTCAGCTCTGGGTGTCAGCAAAGCCCACCAACATCAACAGAATCCAAACATTTCAGTCAAAAACTCTTAGACAAATTACAAAAACCCCATATTTTGTCTCTGATCACACCTTTCACAATGATCTCTCCATTACTACCGTTTCAGATGGTGCTAAAATATTGTCCAAAATATTCCATGTCCGCCACAGCAATCACAGAAATCCTGTACTGTATGGTATTGATAAGATTATTTTTATTTTTTATATCTTATAGATATATTAGATAATATCTTCAAAAAATACACAGTTTATAAACAAAAAATTACGTAACATTGTGGTTTTTTAAGTAGATTTAGTTTTGGTTTCTACACAAACTCTAATAAGCTTCAAATATTTTACTTTTAAGTCTAAACAAAAACTTTATGAATGTGGTTTTTGGAGTATGTCCAAACAAGAACCCATTTGTTATTCTACCTAGTTTACGTTCAAATTAGATGTGTCATCTGGTGATTCTGATCTAGCTTTTAAAGAAATACGTGGTTACCTTTAGAAATAATCTAAACATTAACTACTTTGATACTTTTTTTAGTAAAAAAATGAAAGAAGGTTGCCATGTATTTGAACAATAAAAGTTTTTTCTAAGTATGGTAAAAAACATTATTTACAATTTGGATAGATAGTTTGATTATTACATTTTAGAGATCCTTCAAACAGATGTTCACAAAACGTAATTGAAATCATTATTACAGCTATTAACAAAATGCAAAGCTTAGGACTGAGAAGGTATTGTTTTTTATTATTGTAATGTTATTTAAATGTAGTATAAAAACTAATTGAAATAAGTAAACGTAGTTAATAAAATTCAATCATGTAAAATAATTGAATTATATTACATGAATATCATGTATCATATTGTAAGAATCACCAAATGATAAATATTAATTAAAAATATATATTTAAGAAAGAAAAAAAAATTATATTTTATAAAAATATATTTAATTTATTTGTTTACTTCTTAGTAGGTAAACCAAGAAAATCTTGATATTAAATTATGTATTCATGTGTATGATTATGCACAACATTTCCAAAAACCACTGTACATTGTATACGTCCTTTCTATCTATAATTATTTATATTATAAATATTTATCATTATCCATTGGTCCTTATAAAAATAAATGATTTTTATTTGTATATTTTTTTTATAAACTTGATAAATAAAAGTTAATAAAAGCTCTTATTAAATGATGATCAAAATCAAAGCAGTTATAAATCCCTTTACCTAACTCCATTTAGAATTAAGAAAGTTATTTTGTTCATTAACTTTTCCGAACATTGTTAAAAACTTTTGAAGTTTAACCATGAAAATTGAAAACTTGCAACTCTTTTAATAAATTACCGATGCAAAAATCAATTAATTTTCAAAAGAGGCTTTTACAAAAATAAATCATAATGTTTAGTGCAATTATTCAGTTAGCAGTTAAATAATACTGAAAAGAGAAGTTCAAAATTTAAATTACAATAAGTATAGGCTTAATTATTTTGAATATTTTGAATTCAATTATCCCGTAAGGCGACTTTATTGTGTCTATCGTTTTATGAAACATTTGTTTTCTTCTATTAAATTATTAAAGGTATAATAATTCAAAAATTGGCCATAAAGAAAATATTTGCTGGTACCCGATAAGATATTTATGTGAGGAAAAAAACAATTAAAGAGCCGCATAGAACGCCCCGCGTTAAGCAACATATTGTAGCAAAGGAATGCCATTTCAACCGCAACGAAATGCATTTTATTACATTATAGTGAAACAAATCTCTGTCAATAGTAATGATTTATTTTTGCTTTATTATACTTCCTAATTTATATGACATTTTATTAAATATCTCTAATATTAATAAAATACTAATATTTTTGTAATATACTATTAATTAATTTATATAACCACAAGTGTTGCACTGTTTTCTTCTAGTTGTTATGATTCTATTATATTTAATAATAAACGGCATGTATTCGATTTTGTAATAATTTTTTACAAGAAACATTTAATGCGGTCCGACTGCTTTTAGCAGTTTTAGCATAAACTAACTACTATTTATACAAAAACAATAATTTGCAGTAATATCCGAAGGGAAAGTCATGACGTAGTCAACAGACTACCGCTTTTGTATATAAAAAAAATAATAATTTCCGAGCCCCAAATATTAAGGAAGGGTCTCTTTATTATTTAACGATGGGAAGGCATTTTTAGGAAGGGAGACTTTAAATAGAAATTTTTTATTTTACATCAATTTTTTTTCTGAAACATTAATATTGTTAAAAGCACTTATTTCCTGAATTTTTAGCATTCATCAAAATTAATATATATATTTCTCTCTTAACTATTTAAAAAAAAAAATTGTCATTTAACGTGATTATTTAAAATCATTTTTCATTAAAATCCAGACGATCCTGTAACTAATGATAACAACTGATGAATGTTATTAGAAAAGTTTTCTTACATTATTTACTATTCAAATCAACCAATAAAATCCAATGTTAAGAACTTACTATTTTAGAATAAAACATTTGGTAAATGTAAAATTGTTTATTGCAAAAATTAATTTCTTGGTAAGGTCGTAAGTCGCAATGTTTTTATGTACCGTGTATTATATTAATATAAATATAAACATATTATTTGTGTATGCTGAAATCAAAACATACATGATCCAAAATTCACATTTTTCAGAAGACGCAAAAAAGCTTCATTTAAATCCAAATCTGTTCATATTAACCGTAACTTTCAAGAATTTAAAGTTATTTGTAAAAGTTGTTTGTTTTTAAACCCACAAGTTAAAATTAAAAATTAAAAAATAAGTAAAATACAAACTATAAAACCTTAGTAAAACAAATCCAATAAAACTTTTCGGATTGATTATTTTGTTTTCTATTCTGAACAATAGCTGATTAGTCGTAAACAGTGGTATTTGATATTATATTATGATTATAATGAAATAAACAGCTATTGTTAAAATCCTTGAAGTAATACTTATTTTTTCTAAAGTGTAATAATTACAAGTTCTCTTGTTAGGAAGGAACTTTAGATTATTTTATTATTTCATAATATTAGTAGGGATTCTTTTGTTACTGGTTTACTGATGAAAATTAATTGCAAACAATTTGTCTATGAATATTTAAATTACAATTTTTGCCTACGTATTATATGTTTTTAATTTATCGTTCGTTTTCCGAATCGTTAGGTTATTAAATATGAATAATTACCCAAAGGCAAAGTCTAAGAATCCGCTTACACAATTATATTAACATTGTTTTCGTTGTTCTTTGTACTAAAGTCGATCATTTTCAAACTTAAAATTATTAATAATACCTTGGCGCCCGTATTTGCTCTTTTTGAAAATAATAGGCGGCTTTAACACAATCAAAATAAGTATGAATAAATAAAACTCATTGCCTTCCTATGCTCTTTGACACTAAGCAAGATCAAAATATTTTTGTTGAAAAATAAAAAAAGTTGAGACATTTCTTAACATATGTTAAAATATTATTGCTATTAGATACACTGAATGGTAAATACTATTTTTATACTAATGCAAACTAAAAGGTACAATATTAGAATTTTGGTTTTCAAAAGGGATGGTTATTGTTACACATTGAGTTTGTGTGTGTGATTAGTAGTAAAGAAATGCGCGGTAAATATATTATTGGTAAAGATGTCGAAATTAAATACCATATATTTTCGGTGCTTAATTTTAACTATTAACCTATTTGCTTAATATATAAAAAAACTAATACTATTGAGGTGCTGAGAGTATAAAATAGTACAAAGAAAAGGTTAAATGATAGATGGTAATAAAATATTATTTAACTAATTAAATAAAATGATTAATAACTAGTAAAAAATAATAAATACCAGACAATAATGGGAAGATGAAAAATATTCCAATTAAATATAAACGATTATTTACTATTCAGTTGTTATTATTCCAATAAGACATTAATATGATCATTACAGATACGATTGCTAAAATAATATTAAAATTAGTGTAAATATAAATCAATTAGTATTATATGGTACATCTATACAAAAGTATATATTATTACAAAAATTAATTTACATATTATGGTTTACCTACAACAACTACCTACTCTTTCTGTGTATATTTGTTAACAAAACATAATACTATTTTAATATCTTTTCAGCGCAAGAGTTAAATGTATTAAACATGATTTACTTTTTTTTTGGAATGTATTACTTTTTACACGGAATTTGTCAAACACTGAATATTCATATATCTATTTAACAAGTATCACTTACCGACGATGTCCTCGCGGGAAACTTGCACCAAAGTGAACAAAAAAGTGACGACGAATACGCTGAGCACATGCTGAACATCAGTATACATGACGGAACGATAGGTCCGTACCCTAAGCACAACAAACGCGAACTACCGGCTGGTCGGTCGCGTGCTCTTAGGTTTGAAAACTCACAATAGGAGGGTTGTTGCTCTGGCGCGCCTCCGCGACTTTTGCCGCCAAAAGTCGCGACCGTCCGCCCACCGCAACCGCCTAAATAATAAACCTCCCCTACCCCCACCAAACGTCAACTACGACGATGGCCTAATGTGAATTAACATTACCTTAGGTATTTATATCTCTATATTTGTGTGTCTTTACAGAGATAAATACCTAAGGTAATTTGTGTTTTAGTGCATGCCAAGGGAAGCGACACAAAAAACCCCAAGCTGTTGATATTGCAAACAGATCATTTTATATTAGAACAACCTCAGAATCAACTAGTTGATGGAACGACGTTGCCACAAATTAATCACGAGCAAACAATGGAAAAAACAACTAACACCATTCATCCAGTCCATGCGCCCTGTATCTAATGGTGGACACTGAAAGCTCCTCGGACATAAAAAGTAGTTTTTTTTATGTTTTTTGGGTCGCTGAATCCGAATTTTTTGGTAGGCCAGCGGTCAAGTTGTTGTGCAAAAAGTTATTAATAATTTAATTGTTTTAGACTGGATTTATAACCATAAAACCCTAATAATAAATATTCCTTGTCTCAAGACAAATCTAAAACATCCTATATAATATTAAGATATCTTGAATAGTTTTTGAGTTATGTTGTGCACGATGGGCGGAGCGAGCGCTTTCGGTCGCGCTTGCATATACCTCCGACTTCTTACGTTGACGGGTTTCTTATTATTGTCACAACTAAATATCATTTAATTACCAATTTTAATATATATATATATATATATATATATAAATGTGATATATTAATACACCCCTATAAGTTCTAATTTTTTTTTTTTTACAATTTTCATCAATTTTTTTTTTTTTTAACTTTATTTTTGAAAACAAACAATCTGTAATTTAATTTACAATAAGCATGTATGCGGAAGTAAGATCTTTTTGGCATGAAACATGTGAGAGAAGTAGCCACCCAATGGCGACACTTACATAGGGCTTGGTTAATTATGATGTAATTATGATTTAAGTCACGACACCATCTTCTCTTTAACCTACGAGGAGGATTACCAGGAATAGCGTCGGAATTTAGAGCTGAAATTAAGGGATTTGGATGGTTTGTTAGTCGTGAGCGGAATCGTTCAATTTGTATTAAAATTATTTTTTCCTATTGTGCTGTTCTTAACCCGTGTATAATTTAGAGGGGAAACCAAATAAAATGAAACAAAACAAAGTGTGAGCTGCAAAATTTTTCAAGACAAATAAAACTCTTGGAAGTACACAAACCTGAGTTTATTTTTTTATTTAACTCAGTAAGTAATAAAAAGCTGTCAATTACTTGCTTACGCAAAACAGTGTCATTTTTAGCTAAGTGTTGTGTCAATATGCATAATAATTAATACTTAAGAAACAAAATGCCACTCGCTTTGGTTATAGGTGTTTTGGATTTGTCTTGAGACGAGGAATATTTTTTGATTAGGGTTTTTTTCATACGACGTAAAATTTTCGTGTAAGTTCAGTTTGATTATTCTATGGAAAAAAATGTTGTATTACATATTTTATCATGTTTATGTACTACCTATACTAGCTAATTATAACAAATAAGACAAATTCACCCAAAACTACGGGATAAAGTATCTCATATCTTACATAAAAATGGGAAAACATTTTATTTTAATTGACTCGCTCGACTTTCATTAGGCGGCTTGCGTCTAACATTTTAGATTAATGTGTGTACCCGTGAAATACTTGTGATATTTTATTTAGTGGTACTACTATTCCAAATGAATAATTCATGCAAATTTTGAATTAATTCAACTATTTTTAAAACAGTTATAGAGCATCGTAATTTAAAGTTGAAAAATATGTAAATTTTTTCAGTTTTTTGAAGGAGAGGAGTGAAATTTTTTAATTTTTGCTCTAATGAAATACCTTTGAAGTACGATTTCTGATCTATAGACTTAATACATAAAAATATCTATTCAGCGGCTTAAGCGATATCGTGGGTCCCAGGCACAAAATAAAAAACACACTATTGTAAAAACAACACCTCAGCTCCGCATCGAAGCAAATAGATTAAATTGTAGAAAAGTTTTAAGTTTGTTTTAATAAAAAAAATTGTGTTTCAAATTTAAATTATAAACCATACAATATTCACTGTATAGGTTTAAAAAATATTTAGTTTTTTATCATTATTGTAGTTTTTGGTCAGATACCCATTGGTTTATACTATTAGTACATCGTCCACCGTCTATTTTCTACAACCATATATTATTTTAGAAAACTATAAAAACATCAAATTCATGCTACACCTGTCTGTTTGTCGTTTACCTTCTCTCTATTAAAATAATGTGGTAAATAAGGCAGGACCAAGACATGCCAGTGTGTGTTACCTAAACAACCTTATCTTCGAATTTGACACGTACTCACATCACGTTTGCCCGTTCTACTTACCAAAAGTTACATTGCGCATTGTGTGGTACACCCGCAAGCAACTTCTGCGAGCATTATATTATTAACACATTTGTATGAACATTGACATGGAATCGTTGAGAGGGGGGGTGGAGACAAAAAAATTATGAAACACTGAGATCACATTGTATTAAAAAAAAAATGTTTTTCTTATTTAACTCTATGAGATATTGAGTGGTTCACGATAAAATGATCACCCTGTATTTATAAACAAGTATATACACTATTATTTATCCATCGACTACTAGGGATATTTAATTCAGTGTAAAATAGAAACATTCTCAAAGTTATTCTAGAAAATATGAATAACTATTCATGAGGCAGTGATTGTTCATAATATGTAATGTTGTATTACAAGTTCTATTTTTTTAAGTCTTTCCAACAATAATGATATTACTACAGATCAGAGGGTGAATAGCGAATTAAAGGGAGTAGTAGGTGGACCAAAAAAAACAATAATTTTCCGACAAATATCAACAACAACAACCACAAGGGATACAATGCCGCTCCACTCAAACGTCTCAAATTTGAAAACCATTACTGTACCGCGATTATTGTATAGGTGGAAGGATATTACATAGAATAACAACGTACATCTCATGCATATCAATAGGGGTCGACCGTTAGTGTTTTCATTGCACATCATTCAGAGTGCCGCCAAAATTGAGCCAAGGGTTCTCCCATTTCCCTTTACTTATTTAGAGACATTTCCGCTCTAGGCTATGTATACCACGTAAGTTTGTTTTCCCGAATTGGTTTACTTTGTAAACTAATAATATAAGCCCCAGGGCCGCCACCGATCTCTTTGCAGTTACGTTGCGTTGAAATGATGGAAAGAAAAATACAACTTTTTTTTTTCTGCACTACTCAATCTTCGGGTACTCCGTGTCTTGGTTTACTTTTACTCACACAATAAATAAATTTACCTTCACCTAAACTAATTGATTTTTCATTCATTAATCGTATTTGCCCGAACGGTCAGTTTGTTGTTTTATCGCACAGGGAAAACGAAGTTACTTTGTAAGTTAAACTGTATTATAAGATTTGTATTAATAACTATTGTTAATATATAGTTTCAGTCGGGTATTTTATGTTAATAATGACATCTTCATTTCTTTAGAAGTATGTTAGCTTTAACGAAAATCTCGAGCGAAAGGTATAACAGTAAGATTGACTATTGCTTAGCCGCCAGTCAGTGTAGTGGCTTAGATACAAGACAAAGCTATAATATATTTGGATCTACTATAATTATGATTAATATAGGGAAACAATACATTTATAGTTGGAATTAGTATATAAATAGTTAAGCCAACTAAATGTATAATTGCCTTAACTAAACAATAAATCGATAGATAATAATAAATAATAATTCTTAAAATAGATCCAACTATACAGTTATTTTTGTGTATAGAGTATGTTAATTACTTTGAAGAAGGTACTACGAGTACATTGCTTCTAAAATTCTATATGCTTCTTATTATTTGTAGGTTTACATTGAAATATTTCACAATGATTAAGTAACTTTTAAATTTAATACTACCTTCAAGATTGTTGTGCTAAATTTATATACTATGCTGGTTATTGATATTTTTTGTACAAAGATCGAAACTTTCTTTATACTTCTTTTGAATACTTTATGACGCGTTCCACGAACTTTACGGTTTTCGTTTAATTTAAACCATGGACCTACCATAAAATGTCTGCTCGGCTTTCTCCAGGGTCCAGTTTCTTAAATATTTCCAGTTAATTATCCGGAGTCTTCGTTGTTCTTCAAATTCCTCGTTACTGCGTCGATTGGTAACACAATTATCATGTACTCCGGAGACAATTGTGTTGTAATAAAGTTATTTCGTAATAAACAAACACGCCCTTAAAATATATTGTTATTCATCTTGTATGTTGATGTACGTTTACGGAATGTAATCTGTTTTCATTTTTAGTAGTTGGTACTATAAAACATTTCATTTTCTATTTATGAACAAATTTGTTCAAATGTTAAACAAATAAAAATTATGTATTATATTACTGAACATGAGAAACCACAAATTATAATTTATAATACCTTACAATATGAAATGTAAATGTTACGATAATCTTATACACTGCGGTAAAGGTAATCATGATCATCATGATTTCACAGATCTTAAAGTCCTAACGCTGCCCTCACTAGATGGTTTCTTGACAAATTCGCTAGAGAATGAGCGGTGTTTCATTTTCTCTAGACAGTTTCCCGTCCCGCAAACAGAACCGCCTGGTTGAGACGTTGAGTATCGAACCGAGTAGGAAGAGTTGTGCATCATTCGAATAAAACGTTTTCGAAATAATCACCTAGATAACACATTATCCATGTAAAAATTATTCAAATAATATTTTTGAACATATTATTTAAATAGTTTGTAAGTGTTTTTTTAAGTAATTTTTTTTTTTATATATTATTTAGTATCAATATAAATTAATATACACTACATTAACAATATAT